TGGAACAATCACTTCTAAATAAAGTGAACTAACTAAGAATAATGCCAATGTTTACTTTATTTAGTAATAAGTAAACAAATCCTTAAAATACAATATGGAAGAAAACAATCAGGATCTTGTTTTGATATCTTAATAAAATGTTCTTCACTTTCACGTTTGTGAATTGTCTGAGAATTTTTCGAAAATATTTAGAGGAAGCAAGTATGTTCCCCTGTGATGATATAAGTTCCTTCAGTTTCCCCAATAATGATTTTAAAATTGCTCTTTACTGAAAACTAGAGACACATTTTCAAAGAACTCTATTCCTTCCCATTGCACAGATGATGTGCTCAGACAAAACACACACAACCACCTTCAGGACATTATCTGACATTATATCTAACCCAATTTAGTGGTAAGCTTTCTACTGAAAGAGTTTTATCCTCCATGCAGCTGTGACATCTAGACAGCAAGTTCCCTGCACACACAAAAAAGCAGTACTTCTCTGCTGGATCACCCAGCTGCAGCCACACAATCACTGGAGCTTTTACGGGGGCAGAAGCAAGTAGAGGCTTGTGGTTTGGAAGAGTCAGCTAGAAGGGGGAAGGAAAGATCAACCTTTTGGCAGCAACACGCTATTAGATCAGTTTATCTGTAACACTAAATTACACCCTCAGGAGCTTAACCGGGAACTGTGTGGTGCTAGTTCTTTTCTAATGTATTACTTTATACATAAATCTTACCTCCATGAAAATTAATGGAAGTCTAGCTATCAATTTCATTTAGTCAGAATTTCACTTCTGTACACTAGTGGCATGCAAATAAAAAACAATAATGCAGACACCTAGGTGGTTACATTTAAATAATAAAGAAAAGCTCTATGTATTGATTTCATTATACTGAGGAATAATATTTTCTCTCTCTAAATTAAAAGCTCATACAGAAAAACATACACATCCCTAAACCATCAGCTTTTCAGAGGATTCTATGTACCACAGGAGTATATCAATCTTGATCTTGTGAGGCAAGTGCCAAGATCTTCTCGCAGCAAAGGAGACTCAAGGTAAATGTATGTACTTCAGACATCTCATTTTAGCGAAGAAACTTCAGGATTTGTTGACAGACAGGAGATGGCAATGGCTCCCCAAGGAACCATTACTCTGTTGTTGTAGCAAGATAGCCTGGGTAAGCAACTAGGGCCCGCACCATCTCAAAAACTAGGCTTCCACAGCCCGTGTGATTTCAACATGGCTGAGCATGCAGATCACCTAAAAGCACTCATAGCAGCAGGACCTACAAGATAAAGGATGTAGCCATGGCATAGGAGCCACATCCTCAAATGAAGGCTGAGGACCACAAACTAATCAGCCCTAATACAAAGTTGCAGCTTTTATTATTCTCTAACAGTTGAGCAGCATGATGGTATCATTTCTCTCCTGTAGTCCAAAGAACAGCTAGAAGCTAGAAACATAATTTAACCATGAAAGAGTTTTTCTTTTTTCAACTTAGTATTTCTACTATCTGATCTCATAATTACAATGTTTTTTTCAGGTATTTAGTTCAATAATAAATCATTAATTTACTATAACCAAACTGGGAAGAAGCTGCAATGTACAAAGTAAATGATGCATAATAATCCCATAAAAGACAGCTGATATTCTGATTTTGACTGAAACACCAAAGAAGCAGTTTTTCTCCTCCACTTTCTCAAGCTAACAGTGTGCACTTACAAAACTTACTGAGGGTGAATGTTACTCTCTAAACTTCAAGAAAAACTAGAATCACTGAGGACAAACTGCTTTAACTGCACGACATATAAACAATTTCCAATATATACTCATATGTATGAGAACTGAAACTTGTCATATTTAAAAACGTATAGTGGCATTTAAGTTTTAGTGTTAATTCTTAACAAGATTTAGGTATAGTTAACTACATAGATAAAGTAAAGTAGATAAAACTCGATGCTCAGATTTTACTGAGGACCATACTGTGAGGAACCTAAAGGTTCCTCCCAAATATAACCTTCCTCCTTATCTCACACTTGAGTATTACACCTTGTGCTGCAGTGGAAGCAGTTTACTTTAGAATGTGGCATAGGTAAGAATAGTATGTAATGTTACCAATCTAAAATTTGAATCTGTTATATGCATACTCTGCATGTTAAATAGTATTTTGATCTGTAAAATGTGTCCAGGGAGACAGGATATCAAAACCACATCTTATTATTGTATTATATTACACTGTCTCACATGAACAATGGATATTACTGGAATTTCAGGCACACAAATGTTAAAAACAATGAATAACTGTTCCTATTTTAGCTGTTACTGAGTAACCTCATTCTGACTTTCTGGGATTTCCACTGAAGAGGTGTATATTTCAAACATAAAAGTATAATGCATCATACAGGCATCTTTAGCAGCAAGAAAATGGCACTGAAGATAAATATGCATAAGAAGCTTTTTTTTTTTTTTCATAGCTCAGGTTTGCTGCTAGATCATGGAATGTTTTTCTCTCATCATTAAGGCTCTGAAATACACTCTAAAGGAAAGAAAGCTGATCTACTTATAGATCAACAGAAGGCATGTGAAGAAGGCTTGCTAACAATACTTCTTTTGCATGTAAGTGAGAGCAATTGGTATCCCATCTGGAAAAGCACACTACTCTCAGATAGAAAACTCTTGCCACTGGCAAAGTTTATGGTATTAATTTGTAATGGTGGATTTAGGGAAATGTACTAAACTAATGCTCATTTACTTGCATAATTATGTGTTTTCTACATAAAGTGACAGGCTTTTACCTTGCCAATACTGGCACTGAGTTAATGGAAAACAGGACAAGGCAGGTGTACAAGTATGCCAGCACTGATGAATGTCAAGCTCAGGTTACAGATTTGCTTCTTGAGTTAACATCTGTAGAATGTACCATCTAATGCATTACCCTTCAGACTCTTAAATCTGTTATTTTAAATATTTTCATTGCAGTTTACCTTTGATTATTAATCCAAGAGACAAAAAGTTAAACTGTATCTTATCTTCTTTGCCACTTGATATGTTAAACAGCCTTCATACCTTAAATCCACTTTAATAAGGCATGCAATTATTAAAGCATTACAGAATGGCCCCAGAGCACAATAAGCTCCATTAAATTTGCTTACATCTAATTACGTCTGCCTGAGGCAGGTGAGAAATTGACTCTGATAAGATCATTCTTTTACCTGTAGCCAAAAAAATAAAAAGGAAAAAAAACTCAGAGTGATTTTCTATCTAATTGCTATCTACAAGTATTTATGGTATTCACTCCTTCAATGAATAGCCCACAAAGCACTCTTTGTGCACTAACTAGTGCATTTTAAGTTTTTTAAGACAGTAGAATACAAAAGAAAAGTTATCTTGCTTCAGGCATAAGACAGATCATCAATGATGTTTACTTGTGAAATAGTTTCACCTATTATTTAAATCATACCTTTTCTTTAAAAAAATATTTCTGATGTGAAAAAGCATGTTACATACTCTTTGTGGACTTTTTCTTCATGTCAGCATAAGCAATGAAAGCATTCTACTTTATGGAAAAATAACATAATTATGAAAGTGTACTTTACATGGACCGAAAACTCTTTCTTTAAAAATAAGTTTTTTATAGTAGAAAACACAGCATCCAACTCCTATGTATTTGGAGTTCAGGAAATTCAGGAAAACACTACTAAATTGCACTGCTTGTTACCCATAAGTGAATGAGGGAATGTGGTATTTCTAATCATTCTAATCCCACTAGCAGCGCTAGCAGATCCTAGAGACCATTATAGTGATAATGTAAAAACTACCTAGAAACTATATCAGCTAAAGAGGAATAAATTAAAAACAAAAAAAGATTATATATATATATATATATATTTAAGTCATGGAATTCATCCAGTCTCAAGGGATTACAATTCAATTCTTGGTTAATATTTAAGGAGAAATTGCTTTGTTATAAAGCATTCTTTAAAGATGACAGACATTAGGAATTTGATGTGAAAGTTGTCCAGATAAACCAGCTATTGGACTTCTAATGCAAGACTATACAACACTGTTTTTTAAACATAAATCTTTAAACACCTTTAACCATCACTGACACTCTTGTATTATACTAGATATTCTTTGGTACAATAGATTGCAAATCGATAGTCAACTGAAAAAGAAAAGCTCCTTTGGTCACACTTTATGCTTAAGACCTCATTTGATATTGTAAAATCAAAAACTGCATAGAGGCCCAAAATGAATATATTGTACCATTAACATGTTTCTCATGTGCTTCTTAGGGTTATAGAGTACGCCATTCAATAAGCCTTCCTGTAAAACTGCAGTTGACCTTATCTTTACATTCAAACAATAAACAAACATGTAATCTTTCATATTGATTTTCTTCATTATCCAAACCTCATTTTACATATGTGACAATGAAAAGACATGTTGACTTTCTAGTACACTAAACAACTACAATGTAAATACCATTATTTTTAAGGCAATGACGAACTATTTCTGTTTGCTATGTGCTTTACCAACTCAAAGACTGTTGTTACACAAAATATTTTGGCCTCACATAATTACATCTTGTTTGATGTTAATTTGTTGTATTTCTACTAAAACTTTCACGGTTCCTTTATAACATTGTCTAGCCACCAGTCTGCATCATTCATAAATGACAATACTGTGAACCACTGAATTATGCATGCATCTTTACTGAAAAGCAAAAACAAACTAGAACAAAAAAAAACTACAAAAGGAATTTAATGACTACGCTAGGAAGAATTACTTTCCATCTTTTCCAGGTCTCCTCTAAGAATGAACTGCATACAGGTAAAATAATTATTGAGACATCACGACTGTTATTCAGCCATCTAATTTAAAAAAATTCTCTTCATATTAACATTTCATATCCTAAAATATAGAACAAAATTTCTGGTTTTTCTCTGTTATGTTGTGGATTGCCCATGAGAAGCTTCAGTAGAGAATATTGCTCAGAAATGGAATACGTACCAAAAGCTGCCACTTTTATGATAATAGCTTGAATGTTAGATGATATAATTTCTTTAAGCAATACTTCCTGGTTCCGACGCCAAAGGTAAGCTAAAGGCTGAAGATTAAGTCTTCTGCATCTTAAAAACAAACAAAAAATTGGATAAAACCAATCATTATGCTTTTACACAGCATGATTCATGTAAATTAAAGAAAATGAATTTCTCTCATTTCCTACCTTTAAATGATTTTCCTTCTACAATTTCAATTACAATACTGTTCCTAGATTTCAGTTTATACATTAAATTTAATACAAAAAAAGAAATAAACTTGTTCTGACTACAATTTGTTTGTGTAAGATGTAACTCACTAATGTTAACAGATTAGCACTGAACGTAAGTAAAAACATGAGAAAATGCATTCCTAAACATTTAGGGACACAAAGCATTTAATACCTTAGGAAGTAATCACTTTATGAACACAGATAAGGCAAGAGTTACTGCTTTGTGATAAATGCAGCACATGTCAGTAGTACAATATGCTGAATTTGTTACACTCAACAAACCTATAATTTGGATCATCACCCAAGGAAAAGAATCATTCTGGAAAATGTATACAGCTTATGATACAAAGTAACAACTTGTTAATATAAATTTAATTATTTGTTTTGATACGTATCATATTTAGTCAGCATTTGATACACAGCATTTGATCGTTTATCGAGTTAGAGAATCACTAATTTGCACTATTGATAGGTAACCCTTCTGCAAATTGTCAAATACCATCAGTTAGTAATAAAATGTGTAATGCCTAGTTCCTGAAAAACTTAAAACCGTTTAGCCATTAAACTAGTTCAGAGCACTCAAAAATTACATTTATTTGTCAATTATCAGTGTTTATCTAATAAAATTTCTCCCATATGTTAGATAGACCCACTAGTATTAGTGTCAAGAGTTTATAGTTAAAACGGATGTTTAGTGTTGACATCTAAATCCATAGTTAGCATCCATATAATCAGACTGCTTTTGTTATTATTTTCAAATATTTTAATAGAGCACTAATTTGTAAAATTAACAGAAATATTTAGCAACTCTACAGGTGAAGTAGTTCATTTAGGTGCCTAACTTTAACAAATTAGCTGAATCCAAGAAAGCAGGATGGTTTATGTGAAAGAACTTTATCACAAGGGATAAATTTACAGATCAATGTAAAATTTTTTTACCACTGAACGACCTTGGAATTAATCAGATCTGTTTGAAATACTGTGATGTCCTGTCTATCTTTTGGCGTAGTAAAATACCTGAAATCCACAATCAACAAAAGCAATCTTTTCTAAAATATCCAGTAACATGATCAGGCAGTCATTAAAATGTTTTAAGTGTAAGAGGAAAGAAAAAGAAAGGAGCTATTTCTGACTGCAATTTACCTATGTAAAGCATAAAGAAAACACCCATGCTGTGTAGTTTGCCGATGTGAGTTGAGATGGCATAGCATTAACTTTACCATTCTTAGAGTTCATAATTTATTCCAGATACTTGCTTTTATCATCAACAAATAACTACTGAACCCATGAAATTATAATTAATTTTTAACACAAGGTGGTTTTGCATTTCATCAGACATATGTAGTGAAGTATCTTTTCCAGACCCAAATCAAATCTTGGCCTATGTAACACACACAATTTCCATTACATAATCCTTTTTTTTAATTAAGACTCTTAAAAGTATCACAATATATCTACACTTAAAAAGTATTACAGTCTAGACTAAGAGTGTGCACAGTATGAATGACAAATGAAAGCTCCTGATTAATGATAACAGATTTTAGATTTTAAGAAAGTGAGGAAGACATGCACATAAGGATCCTCTTACATTTAATTCCTGGTAACAAGTCACAGGATGCTCCTCTATATTAAAACTCTGTTGAAAAATAGAGATCATTGACCACAACACCACAGTCACTGGAACTGAGTGATCCTTCTATTGAAATGAAAGATCTGAACCTACTCAACTATTTTCATATTAAAACTCTGAGCATTTTCAACAGATCCATGACTTGAAGAGCAATCCAAAAATCCAGTATAGTTTCTACTGGATTTTTACTAATGAACACATGGTTCTTGGGGGGCGAAAAAAAAAAGGAAAAAAATTTTAATAAAGATACTTATATTAACAAATTGAATTAATTGGGTATCCTAGAACATGAGAAATAAAGCAATTGTTTCTTCTCCAAAATTTGAGTTAGAAAACAAGCAAGTAAATACTTTCCAGGATGGACATAATAATTAGGATTAATATTTTCTTACACATCTTCAACTCGAACTCTCTGGTAGTCAGAAAGAATGGCTCCCACAGATACACCCTCCACTCCTTCTTTGTCCTAAAAAAAAAGACATGAAATATTAATGGATAGCAGTATATGCTGGCCTAAACAAGAGCTTCAGTACCTCTACTAGCAGAATTAACAAAGAATAAATCTTTTTCCCTGTGCCCAGTCCATGGAACTGAATAGGCTGGAATGCAGATCTTGCATAGAAGAGAGCAGCACAGCTGACCTACCATATCAGCTACTAGTCTAACACAGCAATCTACTTGACTCAAGTACTGTTCTATGGAAAAAATAACCAGGGTAACTGAAAAGTACCAGATTTAAGAGCTTATCCTAAAGTTTTCCTGACATCCTGAAAACTACTTCCAGTTCTTCACTATAAGGTGTTAGCTATCCCACCTACAAATAAATATCAACAACATACAATCATGATGACTAATTAAACTGTTGGCATTTGTCCCAATATGCAGCACAAGAGGGTGTGAGATCACTCTTTTTATGCTAACACCAGAACAAGACAACTTGCAGGCAATTTACTCAACATCACCTTGTAAAAATTCTGCTATAAATAAAGGTTTTCCACGACATATTTTCTCTGTTTCACTGCAATTACCTAAGCCTTACTTTTTCTTGTAAACACGCTGAGAATGTAACATCTGAAAATGCATGTAATTACAATTTTTCATGACCTCTTGCATTTTTAAGTTGCTTGTGTCCCAATCAACATGCTGAATTTACTTTCTCTTCCTAAAATTTGCTCCAGACAGATTTTAAAGTTGTTCTCCTCTTTAAACCAAGGTTGATCATAATTATACAGCATGACTTACCTTCTGGATCTGCTCAGTTAGACAGCAATCCTGTGAAGTTTGCAGCAAGATTTTACCACAATTATATACTCAAATATGAATTTCAAAATCAAATCACTCTTTGCCTGCCATGGTACTGAGTTTACAATTCATTTTCAGTTTCTTACCAATAAAATTATGCGGAAGGTGTTTTATTCGTTATTATATCACAGGGAAAATTTTTCTGGTTTATGTCTGTCTAGGATATTCTTTCCTCAATCTACTATCTTACTCATCTTTACATTAATTCTCACCTCATATTTGCCCAACCAAATTCCTAAGTTATTCACACCCATCTATACTTCTGATTTAAGAGATGCTGTATTTATCAAAATTCCTAGCTGTAGTAATCTGAAAATTATATCACTGTTCAATTTATGTACTTCTCCATGTCATTAATGAATATATGATTTAATATGAATTCTAAATCATACAGGATTCAGGTTGATGCTTCTCACATATCTAGAAGTCATACTACTGATATGTAGTACTCATTATCCACTGTTGGTATTATCAAGTAATATTACTATTATCCAGACAGTATTACTTCTGCTTCTCTAAAACATCTGAAATGTTTTCCCCATACTCCTTTGTTTCATGCAATTTTGATATGCAGTTTATCTGTACTGCTACAATTGCACTCAAGTTGCACTCTTCAAAGTTTTTTTCAGAAAGATTATAAAGTTAAGTCACCTAACAGTCTTGGAAAACATGACAGCTAAATTCTGTTTGTTTGTATTTTTATGTTAAAAAAAATATCACTGACAATTCTTTCAAAATGTGCTTCGTTGCAATGTTCAGACATCATCCAACATGTCCAGAAACATTACCTGTATTTCTGTTGATGTGAACAATTAATCACAGGCAACATATCCTCAAAGGTAGAAATCATGAAGTGGTCCATGCACACGACCTGACATCATGAACCAGTATTATTAAACAATTAATACATTAAATATTAACTGTCCATGTTTCCAAGTCACTGCAAATAGTTCTGTGTGAAGGAATAAGGCAACCTGTATCCCTTTCTGCTCAACAGACTGTAATATATTTGTAATGAAATCACAGAATCAGAAGTGAGGCGTCTCACTTTTGTAAACTTGAGGCCCCTGCTGTGAGGTATAGCTGGACTATCTGGTACTAGGACAATTTATGGTTATAAAACTGAATGCCTTTATAAGGAGAGAAGTATTCAACTACAGAAGGATATAGGGGAAGACAAAACCAGAAAAACCGTTCAGTAAAGCATATTCATTTATATGATCAGAAAGCAAACTGGGGACTGAGGGCCGACGGCAAGGGAAGAGTAAAGCAGATTTAGCCTATGATTCAGCAAACACAACAAAATCAAACCTATAAAGAACTACAATCATCTCCATAGCCCCTCAGTGTTAGAGATACTGGATGTTCAAATGCTTTTTCATTACTACTCCTTCATGTAAGGTAGCATAACAATACAAATGATACACCATATCTAATGTATCTGCAGAATATATGCAGGGTTTCTGCAACTGGCCCACCAGAGTGGCAGCTACTACTGGCATTCCAGTAGAAATCTGTTCAAACAGCAAATATTTATAATTCATGGAACAAGCAACTAGATTCAATGATAACAATAAAAAAAAAAGCAAAATCTCAGAAAAAGGGTAAAACAAAGAATTATTCACATTTTCTACTCATGGAGATTACCAAAATTGTTTTGCTTTCATTAAATGAACAGCAGGTGAATACATTAGTGTTACATTCTAGTAAACAGATCTGTCTAATCCAATCTTTATTTTTTCAGATTCCATTAAGACACAAATCAATTTGTTCTTATGAAGAACCATGTGCAACAGAAAGACACTAACTGAGAGAATACCAACCACCAAACCCTCTACATTTTTTTAAGACTTTATACACATACAGTAACAGTGCAGTTGACCTTTCTGCCTGAATCCATCACAGTATGTAGACAGCAAGACATGCTTAATGAGAAGACTATGAGCATTCTTTTTGATTTCAGTAAGATTCTGCTATTAAGTTCTGCATGCTCCAATTTACAGGACTTTGACAGGTAAAAAAAAATAATTTATTTAACTGTGTGTGCATATTGCATATTTTATTGACATCCATGTCTATGTTTACTTGATAATTCTCTTTTTTATAGTTGGAAGATACAGAACATATATTCTTGCAAGGCAGTCCTTAACTGTTAACATCCAGAAAATAACTTTGAGTTTTCTTATAATCCTCACTTAATTGCAATGCAAAGATAAGCACTCTTTTCTGATCCATGTAAATGTCAACTCTCAAGACTGCCATCACAGCTGCAATTAGTACTGCCATCCACTGGAAGAGTAACAGGAGTCAAAGGAATCAAATCACATCACTTAACTTCACTATTACAGTACTTTTCTGATACAGGGTTCATCCACAAGATCAGAAACAAAAATGCATTAATGATTCTAATTCTGAGGTGTTTCAGAAAGAACTGGTAGAAAATTATCTTATAGTGTCACAGATAATAAACAGCGGTGAACACACTTTGAAATTACTTTGGTTTAAGGACTTAGCATCAAAAGTATCAATTCAAAACCACAGTTTTAATGCAAATGTTTTTAAGCTTTTATTGAGTATTAGCAGCAGCAATAATTTTTAAAAGAGGAAGAGTTTGGAGCTCAGTGATTAAGCACAGATTCCCAACACTGTGACTACTTAACAGCATTGTTTTATTTTTATACCTCTGTTCTATTGTGTGTAGTATCATTATGCTGTGAAGGAAAGGAAATGTAATACAATATTAAGTTATTCTGAATTTTTATTCTTACTATAATTTTGAACAGTTATGTTTACAAACTTTTCCAGCGTAAAATTGTATTACCACCGATTCTTATATACAATAGATTTTTTTTTTTTCCTTGCTAACAGGTTCACTTGAAATATTCAGGGCTTCTCCTGACTATTTCTGTCAAAAAAGAGTTATAAATAAAGTAAAAATGTTCAGCCATAGTGGCTGGATAGAGAATGATATTTAGGAAATTATATTCAGTATAAGTTTTCCAAACACTTGAGGAAATTTCTCATACAGTGTTCTAACACTATTTCTTGATTTTAAAAAAGCATGCTCAGATATTCTGGAAAACCAGAAACTAACTAAAAAATATTTCATAACAATTATCATTGTTCAGTTCTAAGTTACCAGGGGCAAACTATTCCATAGTCTAAGTTCAGTAAATAATGTTTTTGAAGTACCTGATACAAACACACACAAGGCTGTAGAACAATTGTCTCACAACTACATTAACCTCCATGGCTACATAAATACACATATCATACACAATTCTCCATATTCTTTTATCATAGAATCACAGAATGGTTTGAGTTGGAAGGGAACTTAAAAGGTCATCTAGTTCCAACCCCCCTGCTATGGCCTGGAACACCTCCCACTAGATCAGGTTGCTCACAGCCTCGTCCAACCTGGCCTTGAACACTTCCAGGGAGGAGGCAGCCACAATTTCTCTGGGCAACCCGTTTTATAATACATACACTTCTTGTTCCTCACCAAAAGAAATAATGTTTGCTGTGATCACCTTATTTGTTACAGTGCACTGCAAATCTGTTCTTACCACAACAGTTTCTATCATATATACTCCTCCTTCTCTAATAATGGGGAAAAAAAAGTTGTATCAGAGATACAAGAAAACAGTAACCATATCATAAACTTCAAGAAAATAACTGATCCTCATAATAAACAAATATGCAGTGACATGAACACCTGTACCACTTCTTTTCGCGATCTCCCAAATACAGATATTCACAGAATCTCTTGTTCATCCATGAAGATGGCAACTGACTTGCCTCATACATTTTTTAACAAGCTCACAGAGCAATGGACACAGTGCTTTTTAAAATTGTTTTTCAAGTTCTCACAAAATATGCACATCAACAAAGATAGTGAGAAAACTCCCTCAGATTAAAAAGAAAAGTGCCTAGAAGTAGAGACTTAAGTGTCCTGTTCTTATACAAACACAATACAACTTCTATACTAAAATGAACTGCTTGTTTGGGATTTTAAAAATTCTAGTCCTGAATCCTAGGAACTTTCAAAATCATCCCATGGTAAAGGAATTTAAAAAGCCATATTCTTTGTTACAGAACTTCTATTTAACTATTGGAACAATGGCCCAAACTTGAAATTTAAATATCAAGTAGCTTTCTCAAAGG